GACTCAAACTAGAGTTGCGCAACAGAGTCAAATCACTCACTCTGAGATTATTTAACCCTGCTGTTAGTGGCCTAGCACCTCTCAGTCAACTAACTACTTCCACTCACGGATCCCCTTATTGTTGTCCCTGTCCGAAGATTCTGCTGTCTCTCATCCGCCTTCCGGATGAACCGAGACCACCTTGGTCCCAACTGATTCTGCCGATAACTTGGTTACCGGACTCCGACCGGTTACTGCACCCAAGCTCAAACGCTCAGTCGCTCTCAGCGACTTCCAAAGAGAACTTCGGCTAGCTAAAATGCTCTGTCTACCTTGCCCCTCTGGCTCTCTAATTCCTGGGATCCTCGATCCCCTATCTTTGCTCTAAAGTCTCTACCAGGTTCCACCTGTGCTGCTAAAATCTCATGGGCCTCGCCCACGGGTCTCACCCAAACTATGTCTAGAGCGGTCTCTCCCTCTAGTCTTACCTGTACTGCTACTAATATACGGGCCTCGCCCATGGGTCTCACCCACTGTATACTGAAGTGGCCTCTCCCTCAGGTCTCACCTATCTAGGGCTATGCAGGCCTGTCTCCATACTGAATCTCAACGAACTAGGTCTACCTGATCCTGATCATACTAACTAGGAGTTACGGGCCTCGCCCATACTCTGCTAACTAGGAGATACGGGCCCTCTCCCACACTCCTCTATTTAGGAGATACGGGCCCCCGCCCACACTCCTAACTGGCTACTAACAACTGTTGCGGCTATCCCGCAGTTTTACCATACTCCCCATGTTGTCTCTACACTGATTACTAATCCGAAAGCATCCCATGCCGGACACTTACTTAGTCTGTATCCTGACTCACTCGAGTCCTGCTGGCGATCCTCCAACTTGGTTTTCCAAACCAGCTATCATCTAACGTGATTACTGTGGTCTTCCCGTAGCCTCACTACTCTTCCCGTACTGTCTACCTAGTGGTGAATGCTATGGCTGCCCCGTAGCCTTACGTACTGGCTAAAATCACGTCCTGCCGAGAGAATCTTCAACCTGGTTTCCCAAACCAATCATCTACCGATCGCTATTACACGCACTCAACACTGGGAAGTTTCCCAAACTCCCAACTCAGCGTTACTCATCCGAACAGCGACTCAGACTATTGCCCTGCTCAATAGAGTTACGAACTCATTCCAACTCCTTACTTACTTCTAATCCTGAATACTTGGAGGGCTCTCCCCCACTTTGACTCAACTAGCTCCTTGCAGTTTTCTGTCTGGGAAGGATTCCCAATCCTTCTTACCATTCCATAATCATTCTGCTAAAAACTGATGTTTACCGCTGCCAGTGCTCCAAAGCTAACCAATACCATGACGCCACTGTCCTTGAAAGCTGGCGAAATACTTCTAGAGTCCCAACTTCACGCTTGCTACAGCGACCGCATCCTGAGTAACCTGCTCTAAAAGGGCACAACTATGGACTACTACTCTAAACTCATGGTATGCAGATGGCATATAACTCAATCATAAGCAGGAAACATAATATTCTGAGATACCCTTATTAACCTTGATGCAGTACCATAACAATAAAATCATAAAGAGAAGCTGAATTTGGAAAACATACCAGCGATCTATTGCGGCTCGATCTTGACTTCATGCGGAATCATGGGCGTTGGAACCTGAACTCCCCCTCTCTGTCGAAGTATCTGCGATGAATCCTGATTAAAATCCTAATTATTTGATTAATTTTTTTTGGTAAAATGATAAATGATTAAAATCCATATATGTTTATTATTCTTATACAACAATGTTGACAAATAAAAACGCATATTGTTAATATTGTATTAAGCTTATTCTAATTTGTTTTATGTTAATTATTCTGATTATTCTAGTTTCATTAAAATACTTAATAATAAAACGTTTTATTATCTAACTATAATATAATATGTAATTTTGTCTTAGAATATTTTAATAAAAAGAATAAATGAAATTAGATTTAGTATCCTGTTACAATAATAAAAAATTAGGATAATAAAATTTTAGTATACTTTAGGACATCTTACTTTAGAAAATAAAGTACATTGTCTCTATTAGTAAAAGTAAAATTTTAGAATAAATGAAAATATTTGTTTTAGATTATTTGTAATTAAGTAATTTTATTTTAGAATTAAAATAATATCGTAACTTTGTTTTAGAATATATGTAATTAAGTAATTTTATTTTAGAATTAAAATAATATTTGAATCAAAGTGTAAGTTTTTAAATTAAAAGGGACTAAAAATACTAGGACTTATTTGCCAGGGACGAAAAAGGGACAAATGTAATAACTTTGAGATTATGACTTATTCACGAGGGAAAAACATTAAAATGAAAAAACTCAATTTCTTCATCTGTATTCTCAAAACCCTCTTCCAAACTTCTTATCATTTTCGGTTTTAAAAACTCCATCAAAACCCTAACTTCTTGTGCTTTTAAACTCGTCATATTCGATTTCTCCTTGGCTCGATTTCATTTTTCGATGTTGTGAATCAAATTTTCACTTGAAAACATCGATAAAAACCCTAAAAACCTTGACATATCAATTTTAAACTTTTTGATTCATATTCTGGTCTTTAATCCCTCGATAATACCCCTAAACTTACTTACTTTCATTCTTATCGAGTATTTTTATCAACGAAAATGGCTACATCAACACGTGCTTCAGAATTTACACCATCAAATCATCTAAATGACATTATTACCAAAACTTCTCAAGAAATTCCAGGTATTTCAATAGTTCTGTTAATTATCATTTTATATCCTTGTTTCCGTTTGAAAATGACGATTTTGCTTCGAGAATTGATCTTCTATTGTTGCTCCAGTCTCCATATCTACATACTAATAATTAGGGAATTGGGCTCTTGTATCTTAGTGAGTCCCATTATTAGGATCATAAAGTGAAATAGGCGAAACGAAATGAAATAAGATGCAAGATACACCATACCTTCAAGAAGCAAGTGAAAATGTAGAAAATAACATCAAATTAGGCTTCTATTAATCAATCCAGTTTATGAATCAAACCAGCAGGACTAAGTATTATGATCCTAATAATGGGACGATTTTACCCCTGTTTCAAAAATGGCTGGTTTGAGAGATTTTTAGAATTTTTGACTTATACCTTGTTGAAAGTTGAAATTAGGTGACAATCCCCTGGTGTAAGTATTATGATGAGTTAGAATATAATTTTGAAATAAATGTAAGTGTTTTTCTATTACAGACAACAATTAAAGTGTATTTAACATTAATTATTTTCATGCAGCTAATATTATAACAAGAATGACAAAATCAAAAATAAAAATGATGACACTGGGTAGAAGTAGTGAAGTTGAAACTTCAACAGGCAAACGGTTGGTTCAAAAAAGAAAATCATCGAAGTCGATCGATGAATTAACAGCTACAACATCAAAAGAAAAAGAAAAAAAGGTACATCATCACTTATTCTATTCTAATAAAATATTTATCTCATTTGTTTCTGTTATTCTATGTATTATAATAAAATATTCTATATTCTATTAATGTTTTTCTATATTCTACTAATCTTATTCTAATAGAATATTTTTAAATATTAATCTAATTTGTTTCTGTTATTCTATGTACTATAATAAAATATTCTATGTATTATAATAGAATATAAAAGAATAAATGATATATTGTGTATTCTATGTATTCTAATAAAATATTTATCTCATTTGTTTCTGTTATTCTATTACAATAAAATATTCTATATTCTATTAATGTTTTTCTATATTCTATTAATCTTATTCTAATAGAATATTTTTAAATATTAATCTAATTTGTTTCCTTATTCTAATAGAATATTTTTAAATGTTACTCTAGATATTTGGATATGATAAATCAATTATTAATTCCTAATTTGATTCTGAAAATGGCAATAAACAGCAAGAAGGCTGGATATGGGTAAAACTCATGAAAAAACTTCAATAGCCGAACGACTAATTGAAAGAAGAAAATCATTTAAGCTTATTGATGAATCAGTCGATACAACAGCAAAAGCCAAAAAAAAAGGTATATCATCAATTATTGTATTTGTACTATAATATCTTGTGTATAATGTTATTCTAATAGCAAGAATGTCATATATAGGTAAAATTCATATTTGTTATTATTGATTATGCATTTACAATTAGAGTTAGCAGAAACATTTTACATAGTTCGTTTTATTTGGAGATTTTGTGTTGACTAATAACATGTTAGTTAAACCCTAATGGGTTTTTGCCTAACCCTAATCACTAACAGTTTGGACTTAATTATGTGATTAGGTACTTAAGTCATGATATTTAAAGTTTGGAAGAAATTTTCCATATAATCAATTTGATCGATTTTGCCCTTATGCAAAGTATTGACGATTTTACCCCTGTTTCAAAAATGGCCGGTTTCAGAGATTTTTAGAATCGTTTGACTTATACCTTGTCGAAAGTTGAAATTAGGTGACAATTACCTAGTGTAAGTATTATGATGAGTTAGAATATAATTTTAAAATAAATGTAAGTGTTTTTCTATTACATACAACAATTAAAGTGTATTTACTGTAATTATAGAATGTTGTTGGATTTTCTGAAGTTGTCAAAGTTGGTGTTTGACTTTGACTTCTGTTATTAATTATATTGATGTCTCAACATTCATTGGCTTCTGAAACATAGTAGACATATTCATATAGATGTTATTCTAATAGAATATTCTGAAGTGTTAATTTTGTATTCTATTTTTATGATGTTATTATCTTTTTTATAATATTATTTATTCTGAAACTCCATTGAACAATAGGGAAACAAAAGGTGCATTCTGAAGATGAAAAAAATAAAATAAGGAAGTTAGACACGAATGATAACATCGAGAAAAAGACACAAAAAACAACAAAAGATTTATTAAAAGATCTGCCTTCAATAAATACTAGAATGAATCCCGGAGCTATGATTGAAGTTATAAGAAGTTTAAGTATGTCTCAAAAAAATGTGTAAAGAAGATGGGTTTTGGATCGCTTTTGGAGTTGAACATCAAGAGAATTCCGTTGAAGCTTGCACATTTTGTAGTTCAACATTATGATCATCAAAACAACAGTATTGTGCTTGATAAAAAAATTAAGATCACAAAAGAAAAAATTCATAAAGTCTTTGGTCTACCAAATGGAGGAAGAAGCTTGTTTGATTTTCATTTTATTGACAGTGAGAATGAAACGTATGTTACATGGAAAAGCCAGTTTACAAAAGAAACAATGAATGCCACTGGATTCAAAGAAGCCATTCTGAAATCCAAAAGAGATGATGATATCTTCAAGCTAAATTTTCTTTCTTTGTTTGTGAATACGTTTACCGAATCACATTCTTATGGGACGTGCAACATAGATCCTGTTAGAAGAGTAGTTGGAGTTGAAGACATCTCATGCATTGATTGGTGTGCGTACTTAAATTACTGTCTGAAGAATACAAGATCTCTATGTCATCAAGATAAAAAGAAATGTTATTATAATGGGCCAATGTTGTTATTGATGGTATGCTTTTTGTTTAATTATTTTAATTATTTTTTATTTATGAATATCTAATACAATTTACAAACTACTATCATGCAACTACTTTACTGTGACGGTCTTGAATGTCAGCGTTTAATCTTAAAGTCAAAAATTCCAACAATAACAATGTGGTCAACAGAGGATTTGAATAACATGCAGTCTTTTGAAATTGAAGATGGTAGGTTTGGATGTGGAAAAGTTGTTATCACACAAATGACGAGAGATAGCGAGGGACCGTCCAATGTGAAAGACAATCTTTATGACACTATTGAGTTAACTTTAATATAAAATATAAAATATAATTTCTTTTTATATTAGGTTAAAGTATGATGTTATAAAAAATTCTGGATATTCTTATATTACATGCTTATGGTTCATAGTAAATATTCTAGATATTCTGAGATGATAAAATATTACATGCTTATAATTCTAGTATTTTATTATTTTTCAGGAATATAAAGAGAGCTTTGATAAGATGTTCAATAAAGTTTCATCAAGAAAGGAGGACATGTATGGAATTGTTTCTGATTGTATATCAACGTTCCCAGATGTCAATATAACAAATGAATTGAAAGAGAAGTTCATTAAGTTATTTTCAGATCCTATTTTTTCAAGTGCTGATAATCAAAACAATGAAAACGAAAAAAAGGGATCACATGAAAGGGTTGAATCTCAAAATGGTGACACGGGGGAGAATGATATAAGTTCTTACAAATCACAATATATGGATAAAGCTGTGAATTTATTTGATAGAATCGATTTGCAGAATGTTCTTTTGATTCAGGTTCTAATAAGATGTGCACAGGATAAAAATAGAATGTAAGTCACTAACTCTTGCTATTTCAATTAAACATGTATTATTTTTTTGAAATGTTGTTTAACTATAATACATGTGGATATTTATTCTAATGTTGATGACATATTTTTTGTTCATGTTTAAAATTAAGGGAGGTACTTTTTGAAACAAATACGGGAGAGATTATGCATAGACAGGATTTTGAGAGCATGCGGCCTAAACATGTTATACATCATTGTGTGATTGATTCTTGGGCTGTTGTTCTAAATTACGAGGAAGAAAAGTCAAAAAGTAAATCATACCGCATGTTCTTCAATACCAAAATTATGGTAAATTCTTTTACAATTGGAACTTTTATATTTTAGTTATAAATTATAACAAGATATTCTAATTTTTCTGTTTTTCTATGTTTATAGAGTTCTGAGTTATTAGATGAAACTAAATCTTTTGACGAGCGTTTTTTAACTTTTGAGACTCGTGTTGATAAGTTTCTATCTAATTTCAAGGCAAATGTAGATTTCAATGATCTTAAACTCGTAAGAATATTTTATTAAATAAAATATTACATTATTAAAGGATAGGAATTATGTTAACTTTTTGATCAATTTGTTGGAATTGCAGGTGGTTTTCCCAATACATAATGGTGATCAGATGTATGCTGTTGTTTTCAACCTAACATATCCACAAGTTCATATTATAGACAACATAAAAACAAAATCGTTAGAAGAAACTTATGGAATGACACCTACATCATTAGTAAATTTTCATTTACTTTTATTAAATGTATTATATTGAATAATGTAATTTTGTTACTATAAATTGCAGAAATTGTACTTTATACGATATCTGGAGAAAACTACATTTATCGTCAATAAAATCAAGGGTTTGCGATCAACAACAGTGAAGATGATGAAAATTGACTGGAACACAAAGAAGTTGACAACAGAGAATGGAGCACTTTTAATGAGACATATGGAAAAATATTATGGAGAAAAGCAAGGAAAGTGGAATGTGGAAATGGAAAAAGGCAGTGATGTGCAAGATGTGCAATTTGTAAAATTATGTGCCTTATATTTTGTTAAGATTGTTACACATGAAATCAACAACCACAAGGAGAGAGTTATCAAAGAGGCAATCGAATTTGGAAAATTTCATCATGCGACTAGAAAAAATATGTTAGAGGAAGGTATCAATAGAATGGATGAATTGGAAATGGGTAATAAATAGAATTTGATAGAAGTTTGGAATTTTATAAACGTGGTTATGGTGACTTAACAACAATTCCTTTTGTAATATTTATCTTATTTTGAACAAATTAGACAAAAAAAATGATGCCTAGTATTATGTAAGAAACTTGATATGGTTTATTAGGTGATTAATGCTTAATGTATAGTTGGTATTATGATCACTTCTTAATGGTCATGGTAGAATATTCTATAGTAAACATAAATTTTTTAGAATTTTCTAATAGAATAATGTATAATGGCATCATTATTCTATTAGAATAATATTAGATGTTGCATATACCTATATAACCTTCTTACATGTATAATCTTGTATTATAATAATTTGATAACAAAACATTATACTGCAATCATTCGTATATACTTCAATGCAAAAATTAAAGATTGAAAATATTAGAAGAATCAATATGTATTCAAATGTATGACACATCATCACAAACCAAATGTCTCATACATCATCACAAACCAAAACATCTGAAAAATGTCCAAACTAAAGAAATTCAAACTTTTATCTATATGGTATTATTGTACTTTATTGAAATACGAAAAAAATCGAAATATATTTCTAGACATAACTATGCACTTTGTACCTTGGAGTTATTCAACAATGTCAAACATTTCCTTGAATTATGCCATTTAACCCCACATGTTTTGCATGATTTTGATTGCTTGTTACCTTGAATAGTAGCCTTCTCCAAAACACTTTTTAAACGTTTTCCTATACCATAACCTTTATTCTTCACCATAGGTGGATTTTCAACATCAACAACTTCAGGATTCGTACTAGCTCCGTAAAGTTTATCAATATGAGCTTCTTTTGTAACCGGTGATTCGTCTGAACCTTCTTCACCAATATCAGTCATAAAAACTTCTAGCTTTTTCATGAACTCTTCTAACTTCTTGTCATCATTACTTAATGAAGACAAGCATTGATCAAGCATGGAAAAAGCTTTGTATGCAACCTTCTCAACATTTCCAGACGAATCACCATATCTAAACGTCCTTTTCAAAACTGTGGTGGGGATAATATCTCTTCTCCATCTCTTAAGAATGTATCTTAACGGAATCTCTTGTATGTCATAAATCTTTAGAATACAGAAGATGTGTCTACAAAAAATTCCAAACCGCTCAAAAAGCATGCATGAACATTTCACCGTTAGAACTTCTCTGTTGAATTCAACCTGTTTCAAAAGTATTAGGATATTAAGTATATTCAAAAAAAGAAAAATTAGAATATTTTTCAAAAGTATTAGAATATTAAGTATATTCTAAAAAGAAAAATTAGAATAATATAAAAAAAATTTAAAGACAATAATTTAGTAATAAAAATTATAATATTAGAATTATAAAATGTCAACATTACCTCAAAATCACCTTCACTTGTGTTAAAATTCCATTCACAATCGATGTCAACTTTTTTTTTTCTCAACTACTACCTTCTTCTTTGATAGATTTGTCCTTTTATGTTTGACAATGCATATGTCGGAAAAAACGCCTGAAGTAACACTCTTCTGTGAACAAGAAAAAAGTGAATGAAGAATCTCCCTCTGCACCATGAGAAAAATAGTCCTCGTGTATACCATAGATGCATGTTTCTCCATATCTTCAAGAGGTGTTTTGATGATTGAAATTATAGTAGATGTATCAAAATCAAATTTGATCTGATTATTCCTTCGCCTTTCCATAACAGACTCAAAAGCATTCATGAAATTGTTTAACGTATAACCATGATGCGATACCCTATTGAATGCTGAATTCTCACTTTCCGACCGAGAAGTTGTTTTCATTAGACCTGACATCGGTACATCTTTAAAATAGGCTGGAATCCAACCGCTTCTCAAATCAAACATATCTTTCATCATTTATTGTCTTGTAACTTATATTTTACCATTAATGCATCGCATCTCATTTCAAAATCTTTCACAACAATTTTGGAGTCCCATACTATACTGTTGAAGTCCGCCTTAAAATCCGATTCATTCATTGTTTCCCAGCTTAACTTCAAAAACAATTCATATATTATTCTGTTAGAATATAATATAGTATAAAAAGGCATTTCATTTAATATATTATCCTAATTACAAAAAATATTTCATTTAATATTCTGATAAGAATATAATACAATATAAAAATACATTTCATTTAATATATTATTCTCATTAAAAAAAATGTCATTTAATATTCTGATAAGAAAAGAACAATAATGTCATATTTATATTGATAAGAATATAACAATAATGTTAGTACCTTCAATGGAAGTTTACTTGTGATATGCCACATACAAAATCTATGTTTTGTGTATGGCAATACTATCTCAATAGCTTTTTTCATTGCTGGATCTTGATCGGTCACGACCATGATTGGTGCTTTTCCAAAACACTTCAAGAATGACCGAAGTAACCAAATATAGGAATTTATATCTTCTCTACACAACAAACCAGCTCCAAAAGTGACGCACCTTTTGTGATTATCAATGTCAGTAAAAGGTACAAATACCATACAATACCTAAAAAAACACAAAAAAAGACCATTAGAATATATAACTAAAAAATGTTTATAATTCTAGAATAAATACCTGTTTGTACGATATGTTGCGTCAAACGAAACAACGTCCCCAAATAACTCAAAGTTTTGTTTTGAAGTATCATCAGCCCAAAAGAGAGCATTTAACTGCTTCTTGTCACATCTGTATTTGTATGTAAAATTTGTAACATTCTCTTTACGATTCTGAAGCTTTGTAATCAACAAATTTGCATCGGTGCCCCAGATGTGACAATTTATATCCCTTGTAAAAATTTTCCAATCTATCTCTAGTTCACCAACAAATTCACATCTTCCTTTTATAACGCACATTAGCCTATATGATGTAGTTGCCCCCACCTTTGCACTCGAAAGCTTATGTATAAAAGCTTGATCAACAATATCCAACTGACGTTTAGCTCTTGAAAGATGCATACAATCTTGATTGATCGATTTGTGGTTGTGCTGTTGTTCAAAGCGCCACAGGTAAACTTCTGAAGAATGTGGTATAACTTTGAATGCAACAAAAGCTTTGCAGTTTGTGCGTTTACAATTACTATTTCTCAATTGCTTGTTATGATCATCACTAACCGTGTCTAAGGTAGAAGTGTTTGGCAATCCCCCTCTATTGCATATAAAATATTTCGAAGTTGTGATTCCACTCTTTTTCCTCTCTGTTGATTTTCTAATATCAAAACCAAATCTTAATGCATATCCTTTATACCACTTAATAACATCTTTGATATCTTTAAATATTGAACCCATAGGAGGTATCCAACTAGCTTCAACCTCTGGAATCCAAAAGAAAGAACCATCAGCTCCAATGAATTGTTTGCAAGAGCCATATTGTGTTGCAACATTGTCACTTTGAACTACAAAAAAGAATATACCACCATGTTAACATATAATCAGAATAATTTGCATTCATATGACTGTAATCATAAAAAACCACAATGTTATATGTGCATTATTCTATAAGCATAATATGCAGTAACATGAGCTTATCACCAACATCATTCTATAAGAATAACCCACTACTAGAAAACAAATCTTTAATGACACGCTTTTTACGACACGCACTGATTAATGATACGCAAAAGGGCGTGCCCTAAAAATAATGTCAGATCTTTAGAAATTTGAAGAATTTAGGACGCGCATTTTTGTGTGCCCTAAAATTAGTGTCTCACAAAAAAAACACGGAGGGCGCTTATGTTAAAGGTGTGTCGTCTAGAAATGTCGCTTTATAATTTTACAAACGCGCTCTTCAGCAAATAGCAGCGGGAAAAAAGAAATCAAAAAAATTAGAAAACCCTCCTTCCTTCCTTGTTTCCCCTCTTTAGCTCTGGGTGTGTTCTTTGACCACAAAAATCTTCTCCGGTCTTCCTCCGCCTCCCTTGTTGCTTGTTTCTTTCCCTTGCACTCCGACCGCCTCCACCGATTCTTCCCCGTTCGTTGACATCGATCAAGGCTCACTTACTTCTACCCACTGGAACCACCATATCTCCCACTCAATGTTGAAATTGTCAGAAAAAGCCCTAATTCAGTATTATACTCTCAAGTCTCAATATTAGGAATGCAAATCTTGATTCTCATTTGTTTCTGATTCCCCACAGATAAATCGAAAAAGGGGAATCAGAATGACGAAGGTAGCGGGAGTTTTGGTCCGGTGGTCGTGGTTCATCTGTCGAGCAAGGAAGATGGGAACGCAAGCAACCATGGTGGCTCGATGATGGCAATCAATCAAGAAAGGGGAAGCACCTCTGGTGCGGGATCGATTTGACCAAAGGAGAAGGGAGAAGCAGCAACGCTTCTCTTGTCTGTGGCGGCTAGGGGGGGCGCTCCGGCGGTCTCAATGGCTGTTCTTCCTTGTCGCCAGCACATTACACGTAGGGAGGGGACTCAACTAGTCTGATGGAGCAGGGCAAGTAGCGACCGGTAATGTGTAACTAGTCTGATGGAGCAGGGCAACTAGTCTGGAGGAGGTAATTATCGGTTCCCGGTGAGCCTTCCTTGGCTTCTTAAACTCCGTCATCGGTAGAAATCGGGGTCAACGAGTCGGGTTCTTGTCTGATTTCGATGAAATAAACGGAGGGAGGAAAGGTTTGGGTGGAGGTCTGATCGATGAAAACAGTGGGAGCCTCTTGGTCTCGTCGGATGCTACTCCATCTCCAGTGGTCGTTGCGAACGAAGGGGAGGACCTCTGGGGTTTGGATAGATCGAAGGAAGAAGAAGAACGAAGCTGTGGTGGTCTTCGGCGATTGAAGGTAAACGGATGCGGTTTGCTTGAACCTCACAGGTCGTATTCTTCTTTTTTTTTTTTGTTTGTTTGTGTCGACCAATATCAATGAATACTGGGATGTTTGGGTGTTTGAGTTTACTGGGAAAAGAAAACATCGAAAAATAAAAGTATTGTGTTTGGTTTGCTTCATTTGACAGGGAAGAAGGAGTACAATCGAGGTTGTGAAATTGATGGGAAAGAAGAAAAGAAACAGAAGTCGTTGCTGCCCTTGATGGTTAGCTGAAATACTTATGATCAACACCTCCATTTGGAGGTGTTCTTGGCTGGGAATGAAGGTGCAAGCAGATACAAAAGGATCGATCAATTTTTCTCTGTAAGTTATGTTTATTCTCCTGCATAAAACATAAGGGAAAAAGGCACAAATTAGATTAGTTAGTTTGGGGTCAATCACCTTCGGTGCTTGTAATGTGTAACTTGATTACTTTTTTTTCTTCCTTGTGGGCTTTGATAGGGATTTTTCAATCTGTCTTTAAATCTCCAGGTCTATAGGTGGGTGGGTGGGTGTGGGACGGGGGGAGGGGGGTCAGATGAAGTGTATCTTGGTGGGTGTGTGTGTGTGTGTTTGGTGCGTGTAACTATCACAATTGGGAAGGGTTTAGAGTCTGTTGGTGTGAGTTCTCTTTGTGATACTCAAGTGCTAGTTGGGTCTGTGATAGCGTGCATTTTTATCTTTTCTCTAGGTATGTAATCACATGTTTTTTTGGTTCCTGTTTTTACAGCTCCTGATATACATCAATCCAACAACACAAGTTCCAGGGATATGCTTGGTATTGACACTCGAGGTTGAAAACTTCAACGTCATGTCAGGGATAAATATAAACTTATTTCGAGTTTGGTCCATTATACCCTTGGGATTGTTACTTACCTGTTATGGTTTTTCTATTTATGGATATCCTGTCCAGGTGCTAGCTTCAAAGATTATGTGTTTATTTTGCAGTTCATACATGGCACCCTGCTGTCTCTTGCCATTTTATGACATTTTTGCCCCTAGAGCTGTTTTGAAGGATTTTTGGGCCTAGTTTGTTATTGATTTTGCATTTGGAGCTTTGTTGGAGTGATATTTCCCCTCTAATATTATCTGGAAGTTACTAAAGAAACAGTCGTTGCCATCTTTGTGCTATTCATCAGGTGTTAAATGGCTTCTGCCAACCTTGGACATGGCGGAGTTGGCAGTTCCAGAGTTGTTACCGGCTTGAATTATTCATCTAGTTCAGTTGACTGGCTAGGGAGAGAGATGCTTGAGATGCGACTCACGGACAAGGTAGAACATGATGATGAAAGAGTGAGTGCAAGTTCCTTTTCCCTTATCATAACTTTTCTTATATATCTTTCATAAAATTCTTATATATCATCAGTTGTTATTGATAATCTGTTCATGTTGGATTTATATTGCAAGAAAGTGAACCAGAGATAGTACATGGTGTGGGTTCTGAAGCCGGGCATGTTATAAGAACAACAGTAGGTGGTTGTAATGGTCAGTCTAAACAGGTTTGCAGTAATGAATTTTCAAGAATTAGCCTTTTTCATGGCAATGGATCAAATTACATAAATACCCTTTCTTTGATCATGTGTTGTCCCAGACTGTTAGTTACATAGCTGAGCATGTGATTGTAATTGGCTCTTTTGGTGTTGTTTTCCAAGTAAGTAGATGATTTTGTTGAGTTATTGTTTTAGAATTTAGATTCTTGGTGTGTTTTTCTTTTTCTTTTTTCTGATTTTGTTTTTGGCGAAGGCGAAATTACATAAATACCCTTTCTTTGATCATGTGTTGTCCCGGTTGTTATTTGATTTTTTACTATACTCTCATTAAAGGTAGATAAATTAGTTGCTACAGCGTGAATAAATAAACACACTATTAAAATTTATAAACATTGACGACTGATAATTTACTTTACAAACAAAAATAGGAAGGAGTTTGAGGTAATATAATTTACGAACTGATAATATACATAGGTAACTGTTTTCAAACTTCTAAATAGAGGAGACATAAATATAACGTAAATTTGATTTCTGATTTTAAATATCCAAATTTCAACTACAATCTGTTATTTACTTTTTATATGATATAAAGGGTTAACATGGGTTTCAATGTTTCATGCAATTGAGAAAGCAAATTAAAACAGAGCTTTGAGAATTTAATATATGGCAACGTCCAATACTAAAATGTAGCCAAGAATCAGTTATTCATCCTTTATTGAGATTATATATATATATATATATATATATATATATATATATATATATATATATATATATATATATATATATATATATATACCGGTTCTGACGGGTACCCGGCGGGTACCCGTTCCAAAAAGATAGAAACCGGAACCGGAACCGCTTAAGGAGGTTCCACAACTTTAGGAACTGGAACCGGAACCACTTAAGGCGGTTCCGGTTCCGGAACCGGCGGATCCTATACTGTTCCGGTTTCGAAAGCGGGTACCCTGTTTCACTGCTCACCCCTAATTAACATACATATTCATGCTGGTAAGTTAACTCAATTCATAGCATACCTAAGGCTTTACCATATTTCTGTAACTGGGCTGCGTGTTCTATTACAATGGCTTTAGAGTTCTTTACTCCAGCATACAAAGGTCATTCACGTGTCATGGCTTATATTCTCAAGGTATTGGAATCTTACCCTCCTTCCAAAGTAACATTTTTCATGCCCCAACTCATTCAAGTTTTGAGGTATGATGATGAGGTGGGTATTGGCAACAACTCCCTTTGTCTCCTATACTTTGTCAGATCACACCCTTTAATTGTACATAATTCATTATTGCCTTAAAATTGCAGAAATTGGTTGAAGGATACTTTCTTAGAGCTGCTCAAAGAAACTCGAGTTTTTTTAGGGACATCTACAGATTAGTGATCAGCCATGTGCCAAGGTATTCTTTTATTTATTAAGATGTTATCTAAAGTTCTTAATACTTCACACAAGTTCTTAATATTTGCTAATTTTCTGCTTTCATGTCTTTATGGCATGGAAGTGCAAAATGGAGATGAAAAATGAAAAAGAACCTGAGTTCATACTTCATTGAGATCATCGCCACGTTTAAAGGTTAAACACTTATTGTCCCCATTAAGTAAAAAGGGTGACAAATCCATTGTGTATCCCGTAACATATATGTTGCTATTGTGACATGCTAAACAGCTTTGAGCAATTTTATTTTCATGGTGAGGATTTGCTCAGTCTTGATTTCTTGTTTTCTGCATAGTTTGTGAATCTATGCTGTTGTAAAATTATAACCTCTGGTTTTTTTTAATCTTTGCAGAGTGTAAAAAGCTTGCAGATGTTCACTTTTCCCTCATTTGACCACTCATATTTGGCACAAGTATTTGCAACTAACATTCCTTGTTTGATTCATCTATTAATTATATCTTTTTAGTTTGTAGAAGGTGTCCCTTGATACGCAATGTACTATTAGGTTATATAGTTAGGGAAAACCTCTTAATAACAATGTACAATTAGATCCCCTTAATATCAATGTATTACAATTTTTTGACATGATGTTATTGGATGAAATTGATTGTTTTGATTTGTTTACATATTTTTGTATTATTGGTAAATGAGTATCGTAAAGACGCGTCGTAAATGCATATCGCAAATAGTTACTGAAGTTTATGACACGCAAATGTGTGTCATCTTCATTTATGACAGGGGCTTCCTTGATACGCATTGCGTGTCATAAACACGCACGTCGTAAGGTTACGACACACAAATGCGTGTCGTCTTCCTTTATGACAGGGCCTTCCTTGATACACATTGCATGTCATAACTGCGCGTCGTAAATGCATGTCGTAAATGCGCGTCGTAAATAGACGACGCGCAAAAGCGTGTCGTCTGTCGTTATGACAGGGCCTTCCTTGACACGCATTTGTGCGTCGTCTGAGCGTTTTACGACACCCATTGCGCGTCGTAAAAGGCTATTTTTCTAGTAGTGACCGATATCAGTAACAGAATTACCTTGGATTTTCGATTGATTTTCATCATTATGCAGAATCTCTAAATCACCAGAACTGAATTGATGATTTTCTTCGTCGTAATGATCATTTCCGATGTCATTCATATCTAAATCATCCATAATTGTTACTAGGTTAAAAATTGAATATGTTATATACAACTAACAATGAAAGCAATGAAAACTCAAACCTTGATCAATTGATCAAATCATGATATAAAGTAAAATTTAAGAAAATTACCTTGGGTTTCCGAATGATTTTTCTTGTTATGAAGAATCTCTGAATCATTAGAACCGAACTGATGATTTTCTTCATCGAGATGATTGTTTTCGATGTCATGCATATCCAAGTCATCCATAACTGTTATCATTATTGATATATAAATGTATGTACAATATTCTATAAGAATAACATGCAGTCTCATGAACTTATCACTAAGATGATGTTAATGAAAAGCAAATAGATGATGTTAATCAAAAGAAAACAGATGACATATTGCTAAAAAACATAATGATTGAATGAAAGTTAAAAATCAAACAATGAAATAGATGATGCATTGTCAAATAACATATTATAGATTAAATTGTTTTCTAGGTCAAACAAATTCAACAACAAGTGATGTTTGATTTCTGAATTGGATGTCTCAACAACAGATGATGTTTGATTGCTGAAATCACAAATCATACAAATATAAAATTGGAGAAATCGATAATAGCATGATGATTCAATTCATGAACTAGGTTAAAAATTGAATATGTTATATGCAAGTAACAGTGAAATCGATGAAAACTCAAACCTTGATCAATTGACGATTTCATGATGTTGAGTAAAATTCACAGCTTGAATGATCGTAAACAATTGTTGAAGATGAAGATTAGCAGAAATCGTTGAACACTTGAACCTCTACCGAAATCGATGATCACAAAGTTAAAATTGATCAAAATCGTCTAATGAATTGCTAATATTGATACATGAACATAAACATCAATCACTCAGATTATCAATTGCAGATGTAGAAGAATCAAGAACATGAACTCGAAAAACATAAAAATCGCGAATTTAAAAGCTATGATTTAGCATCGTTCGATCAATGTCCAAATCAAATCGATTATCGGTTGAAAGAATATAAGATTGGAGATAGAATATCGATCAAATTGAATTGAAGAACAAGGAATGTTGATTCATCGAATAAATTGGTAGAAAACCGGAACAAATGAGATGATTTCTTGATGACGTGAAAATTAAGCTAACCCGATATCTGATCATCTTAAATTTAACCTAGTGACTAATCTACCCCTAGTTAACTAATCAGTTAGATTAATTAGTATTAATCCCTTTTTTTATGAGCCACAAGATCAAATTTGATCAAAGACTAAGATTTGGTCCCCATGTCTCACAAAATATAGGTGGTCTCAAATGAACATCTACCTATATATATATATATATATATATATATATATATATATATATATATATATATATATATATATATATATATATATATATATATATATATATATATAGCTAGGTTCAAGTATTCTAACTAATTATTGTGTGGATGTAAGAATCAATGTGAGCCAATCATTTCAAAACCTAAATAAAGTAAATTTTTAATGTTATCTATTATTTAATTTTAGTAATTAAATAAATATTTAATTAATCGCTTTAATTTAGCCAAGATAGTTTTAGAATTAATTAAATAAGGTAAAATTTTAATATTATCTATTAATTAATTTTAGTAATCAAATATATTTGTTCAATAATTGTATATTTAAGAATGTTATTTAAACTATTATTCTGTAAGAATATGTATGAATCTATATTTGCAGTACAATGTTTGAATATATAAGGATCATGTTATATTTCAACTGAAGGTTCAAGAATGTTGTTTTTCTACAAGAAGTTATTTCAATCAAAATATATACTCTATCAGAATATATTCCAGCAATTTCATAGAATATTGTTCTAACAGAATTGCATTCTAAAAGAATAAAATCAAATAAAATTAAAAATTATATTAGAATTAAAAATGAATTAATTAAAAAAAATCAGAATTCAAAATTAAAAGAATCAATATCCCTTAAAATCCGAAATTTTCATTAATTAAACATGTGTTTCCGAATTTAAACATGTGTCTCCTAATTTAAAGATAGGTAAATCATTATTTAAAACAACTAAAATCATTGGTCTACATTCATCCCTACATCCACACAATAATTAATTAGAATAGAATAACCTACGCATATATATATATATAGAGAGAGAGAGAGAGAGAGGAATGATCATTTGAGAACTCATAGTTTCCCGAAAACCCGAGTACCAAATACGAGCCATTAGATCAAAATAATAGAAGGTCAAGATGATTTATGACAATTTTCTAAATACTTAAAAAAAATATGACATAGGGGTATCAAACTAAAATGAACTAGGGGCATTTTGGGTAACATAATTTACAGCCCTAAATCAAATTCAATATGTGTCGTTCAGGTGAAACCAAATCCTTTCTCTCCCCATCATCACGTCTCTCTCTCTCTCTCTCTCTCTCTCTCTCTCTCTTCACTCTCATACCGTCTCCGACGATCCGCTTCCTAATCTTCGATCGATCTAGGCTTCATTGAAGCGAATCATCAACGTGAAGAAGGTACGATTAATCAACAATTGACTATCTCTCTTCCAGTCGAATATTGTTCACCAAAATTCGACACCGTCGATTGCTTCCCCAAAATCAAGCATCGCCTTCTGGAATCAATGAGTCGACCTCTGAATCCATGGCTTCCTCTGCCATTGTCGATTATTAAGCCATTGTGTATATGATATCAACGTCGTTGGAGATTCATCAAGTTTTTTTTTTTCCCAAAATCAGATTTCATAAATCTGGAATCGATTCAACCTAGCATCGCGATTATGTAACTGAAATTGTAGGATCGTCTCTCGGTTCGATTTCACCTTCATCCATCGATTTGTGTCTACTGTTCCGGTAAGATTAACGTAATTTTTGTTTATTGTTGTCTGGATTTACTTCACATATTATTTTCGTATGTGTTATTGAGTAATTGTGATTTATTTTTCTAGTTTCCTTTCCTTCACTTGTCTCTCAAGATCTTTAATCTGATGCATTAAACTCAAGATCATCTCATCCTTTTGATCCTCAGGAACATATTCCATGTCCCCTTCAAGATTCAGATCACGAAACTTACTCAGCATCATGTTAACCACTTCTTGATTCTTCGTGCTCTATGTCTCATCTGTTTTTTCAACTTCACCACTTGTGGTTTCAACTACAGTTGATGAATGGAGTTGTGTTTATTGATTTGGACATAAGGTGTGTCATGTATTGAGTACACTGAGTTTGACAAATTTGGAATTGTTGATGGATCCCTTTCTTCCAATAGGTACTACATGAACCCTTCTGTTAGTTATGATTATTTTTATGTTCTCTGATTAACCATGGTGATTTGTTAAGTTTGCAGACAGAGTTCCCAGCAAATACAAATATTCTTTATCTGGATTTGAATGCTGCAGAGCTTATTGGATAAAGTAAAGATGAGTCGAGTTTACCAGGAATGGTGTTGAATGTAAAGAAAACTATCAACTTCATAGACCACTATGGAATCCAGCATGGGTATGTTTCTGCTTACATTATATAAACATTAATCTCTTTTAACCAATAACATCATGAAAATATTTAAATTCTTTTCTATGGGCAGTGTTCCAGGTGGGCGTTTGGAATGCACAATGCAAAATATTGCTAATAATCTTACAAATAGTTTTTCCTCTCAGTGCTTTGAAGGTGTAGAAGGTATAATGCAATTTGTTTTGTATTTAGTAGTTTTTGCATACTTGCATTATGAGTTTATCATCATGAATTTTAATCTTTTTTTGCAAGTCTATTGTATTCAGTAATAATGCTATTCATGTAACTTAATGGCAGAAAAGCTAGATACCTTCATAATTTATATATATTTCCATTTTCTTATTTTAATATAAGTTAGATTTCTCAACTTCCATGAAAGAATAGATACCATATTAATTGCTTTTATTTACAAAATTGCCATTTTTGATCAACACTATTAAAAAATTTAATCTAGTCTTCTGTTCTGCAAACTATTTCTTCTAACATAATTTCGTCGAAAATCTATCTACTGTTATAATCAACTTTTAAAATCTATTTGTTTATAATACTTTATATTATGTACTTGCTTTTTAGATCATATAATTGTGATTTTAGAAATTTCAAAACTGCACTTTTTAAATTTATATTTAATTCTTCACGGCAATTTCACCCAATAACTATATACTAGTATAATCCATATAGTATGTTTTTTAAACATTTACTTGCAATTACTTGTCGATGTTGAGAAAAAAAAGAGGAAGATATTGTGGTATATAAAACTTCATTGGTTCCTAATTCATTATCTCTGTCATCTTTTTGATTATTATATGTTTGGTTGCTTTTTGATTATTATATGTTAGGTTGATTTTGGTGGAAATTTAAGATGCGCAATAAGACTTGTTAGCATCATTTTATTTTATTTCCTATGTTTAATACATGTAGTTAATATTTCCTGTTGTTTTGTTAGGAAAATTTTTGGGCTTGAAATTATGAGAAAGCATCGGAGACACCTTTCAGTGGTAACATAATATTCATTGTCTCTTTATAATTTTGTTGCTACTTAATATATACATAAAGGATTTTTATGTTTCTCGAATCTACATCTTTTTTGAATTATTATGAATCACAAGTAAGTCACATGTGATTCACATGTAAATCTCAAAGGTGGAACGTTTGAGAACTCACATGTAAATATCACGTATGAATTACATGTAATTCACATGTAAATCATAAGTAATTGACATATGAATCACATGTAAATCACAAGTAAATCATATATGAATTATATGTGATTAACATGTAAATATAACATATGAATTACATGTGATTCACATGTAAATCACAAATAATTCACATATGAATCACATGTAAATCACAAGTGAATCAAATATTAATTACATGTGATTTACATGTAATTCACATGTAAATCACAAGTGAATCACATATGAATTATATGTGATTCACATGTAAATATCACATATGAATTACATATGATTCACATGTAAATCACAAGTAATTCACATATGAATCACATGTAATTCACATGTGAATCATATATGAATTACCTGTCACATGTAAATCACATGTAATTCACATGTAAATCACAAGTGAATCACATATGAATTATATGTGATTTACATGTAAATATCACATATGAATTACATGTGATTCACATGTAAATCACAAGTAATTTACATACGCATCACATGTAATTCACATGTAAATCATAAGTGAATCATATATGAATTTTATGTGAT